GAGGGGACTCTGGCAGTAAATGAGAAAATGACAGATCCAAGTGAGTACCGTGGTGTGAATGAAACAGTAGGCAGTGAGAGAGCATTCCTGGGTGTTCGGTGGAAAACTGCTGAGGCCTGGATAACAAGAAGGAGGCTGCCATCTGAATAGTTTAAGATATAATGTAGCTAGATTGCTATTTTATTCAATCTGTAGTTTACTCTCTTACACTATGGAAGAGATTCCCAACATTGATACAGTCAACCTCCACAATTTAGATGTCAATGGGGATCCTGAAGGTTAATGGCCTCTATTAATTTGTAAAGACAAAATCCCTAATAATCCTTAAGGATTAGAATAGGGTTCCTCAACATTGGCACTGTTGAAATATTTGGCCGAACAATTCTTTGTTGTCGGGGGCTGTCCTGGGCTTTGTAGGATGTTAGCAGCATCCCTGGCCTCTGTCCACTAGATGCCAGTAGCACTGCCCCTTCCCCTACAATGTGTCTTCTGCCATTGCCAAATGACCCCCACGGGGCAATGTTGTCTAGGTCTGTAACCACTGGATTAAGGGAAACGATGCCTGCAAAGTCCCCAGCAGGAATTTTCGTCACTAGAAGCTGCATGTGTGTGACGAAGTCATATTAGTAGAAACGCCCCCAGCTGACTCTCCAGCAGATATGTGCCAATTAGAGACATCTTTGCAAAGCTTCCAAATTGCAGACACTGCAAATGGCCCTCAGGGGTCTGTTAAATTATTATGACCTCCAATATTGATAGTAATAAAGCTGTGCTCTTTCTGCCTATAATTTTAATATTTTACTAAACTGTACAGTCTCCTATAACAAGAGCTATATTATTATCCTCTACAGAGCTGTACTGTTCATAATTTAAATAATAATGTACATTTCCTCATCCTAAACTACTTCACACATTAAATAGTTTTTACCAACACCATTACGATCCTATTTTAGTGTGCTACGTTATTCTAATTCTGTGTTCCTTTCGATACTGCTCATAAAAGGACGGCACATGGAGCTGGCCAGTCTTTAATTTTAGGACACATGGAGGTATCATTGCATTGTCTTGTCTATGCTGCATTTTAGTATTCTACCCTCAATAAATATTGCAATTGTTCTACTATAATTTTATGAATTTTACCTAGTATATACATACAATGAATTTTATAATTATACATGTATATACAAACATATATGAAATATTTCTATATTTTAGGAAGAATGTTGCTACACTATGATTAGCTATAGATGCCTTCTGAATCTGTTACAAACTGTATTGAATGTCACAGCCTATAACTTTAGTAACTGTGCTGTATAATGCTTTATTACACTATATCACATTAATTAGTGGTAAACTGTACATTTTAATAAAAAGTTCTCTGATAAGTTACCTGTGGATATGTTTGGTATCAGTCATATTAATATTGCATACAGAAATCTCCTACTGCAAATTTTAGCAAGACAACATACTCTAGAATAGCCTAAAGAGAGGGAAGAAACTATGAAATATTTGTAGGGGACAGTAGGACAGAAGTCGACTCAGGAAAGAATATGTCTCAGGGTGCTTACTGGTCTGCCCAGGTATGCTAGGCAGCCCACATGCGCTCAGCAGCTCAGGTAGCCACAAAAGTGCCATTGTGGCTTGTGTGTTCTAAGTGAGATATGTGGAGAAATGAAGACAGGGGAGGGCTGCTCGGCAGCAGACAGTGGCCTGGAAGTGGGAGGACAGGAATAGCAGCCGCACTCAGGGAGGTGAGTTGGCAGGCTCGTATTAGAGAGCGGGGGTTGAGGCCAAGCAGTTTGGAGAGACGGCAATAAGACCAGTGGGTAGGAGACGTGGATATGTCATAGTACAAAGTTGTTGGCAATTCATTCATTCATTCAAAGTACTTGATTGGCTGAGTGCCCTGACTCAGAAGCAAAATTGCCTGGTTTCTAATCCCAACTCTGCTCCTTTCCAACCATGTGACCTTTGGGAGTATTACTTTACCCCTTGTGCCTCCGTTTCTCCATCAGTATAATGAGGATCAGAATCACATCTACTTCCTAAGTGTGCTGTGAAAATCCCATGAGTTAAACAAGGAAGTCACTTCAAATGGCACCAGGCAGAGAGTCAGATCACAGTAAACAGTAGGTGCTAGCTTTGCCATTGTTATTCGTGGTTTTAGTTGTATTATAGGCCAGGCACTGTTCTGGGAGTTGGAGATGAAGTCACGAATGACAGAGGAGTCCCTGACCTTGCGGAGCTGGAATACAGTAGTTGAAACTGAAAATAAAATGATTCCAGATACTGATATAAAGGAAAAGTAAAACCAGAAGAGCGGGGGAGAAGAGCAGCTGTACCAGGGGTCTCTGAGGAAGGAATTTTTGAAGGGATCCTGGATGTTGGGAAGGAGCAGCTGCATGAAGACCAGGGTCTAGAGCCCTCCAGGCAGAGGGCACAGGAAGAACAAAAGCCCTGAGTGGGGACCATGCCTGGCATTTTCAAAGGCTTGGAGGCAGAGCCGTGGAGCACAGCGGGTCTGGGACACAGCGGCACAGGATGGCGTGGGAAAGGGAGGAAGAGTCCAGAGCCAAGGCCCTGTAGGCCCCATAGCTCAGTGGATGCAAACCTGGCTTCATATTAACATCACCTGGGGAGTTTTAACAAAAACTGAAATGCCTGGGTTCTGCCCCAGAATTTTTGTTTGTTTGAGATGGAGTCTTGCTCTGTCACCCAGGATGGAGTGCAGTGGCACGATCTCGGCTCACTGCAACCTCCTCCTCCCAGGTTCAAGCGATTCTCCCACCTCAGCCTCCCGAGTAGCTGGGATTACAGGCGCCCGCCACCATGCCCGGCTAATTTTTGTATTTTTAGTAGAGACAGGGTTTCACCATATTGGCCAGGCTAGTCTCCAACTCCTGACCTCAGGTGATCTACCCACCTCAGCCTCCCAAAGTGCTGGGATTACAGGCATGAGCCACCGTGCCCAGCCTGTCCCAGAGATTTTTGAAAGGTCCCTGAGTCATTCAAACACACAGAAGACTTGGAGAACCCCTGCTGTGGACTACAGGAAGGGATGTATGTTTTTGTGTATGCTTTTCTAATTGCACTGGGCAAGGCGAGGATCAGATATTTGTTTCTGAAAAACTACTCTGGTTGTTGTGTGGAGAACCAACCGTGGAGTGGGACTGGGTGGTCGCTGACAGTGGAAGAGAGGATACCAATGAGGACACAGGTCTTCAGAGACCCGGGACAGGGGGTAGTGACTGGGAAGAGGATGGCAGCAGTGCAGGGCTGGGAAAAGTGGTGGTCAGGTTTGGTGTTTGAAGGGCGGAGCTCATGAGACTTGATGCAAGGCGGGCTGTGGGGGAAAGCGCAAATAGGGTGGCCCCAAGGTTTGTGGTTGGAGTTGAGTCAGTGGGAAGAAAAAAGTTTCATGGAGGGAGATCATGAGTTGTGCTTAGGACACATTAAGTTGGAGAAAATTATTCAAGTTCCAAGTAGATAAATAGAATGTCCAGTTGCTTGGAGCTCTTGTGAGAACAGCAAACAGAGGTGCCTGGTGGGTCAGTTACACGAATGTAATCCCTGATAAGGGCATGAGGCACAGTGTGACTCAAGGATGCTATATTTATGCCATAAACAGTTTAACAAAAATGATGTTACTCCATCGTTTAAAATGAGACTGGGAGTGGAATTACATGCAATTATATTACACGTATTTTGCATCATTTGCATTAAATTATGAGCATTATATCATAATATGCTTGACTTATTGTTGCCAGTTTTTAAGAACTGTAATGGGGAATCATAGGCTATGTGATGTTATTTTTGTTAAAATTTAATTAGAATATGATTTCTCTCTCTTACAAATCCCCTAACTTGCTCTTTTTTAAAATCACCTAAATTTTTCTATAAATCACCTAGATCTGTGATAAATTCATCTTTCTTAGTATTAAGCGCAATTTTCCTCTGGCCATCACCTCAGGCATAAATAGAATGTCTTTATACTTGTGACTTTATGGGTTTAGAGTCTTATCATTCCAGTTTAATAAATTGTGGCTCCTTATCTGATATCAATATATCAGTATAAATGTAATATATCTTTATATTTGTATGAGCAACAAATGAATTTATTCATTTACCAAGTGCACAGAGCGAATAATATCAACTGTCACAATTCTATAGCCCCATGGCTGTTGAAAGTTTGGCAAGTTTGCCTGTTACAGTATTGTTACGTTGAGAACAAACAGCACTGGAGGCATAGTAATTTTAAAAGTTACAACGATGTTGTGGAATCCTTTTAGTATAAAGCAGTACAGTGACATCAGTTTTTCTAAACTATCAAGAGGATAATGTGCCCCTTTTTAAAAGAGTTTAAGTAGGATTCTCTGGATAACTTTTAGATGTCTGTCCTATAAAGTAAGGCATTCTCTACTCTGCCTAGGCATGGAAATTATTCCACTTTATTTAGTAACAATGATCCAATGAAATCTGTTTTCTTTGGGTCAAGAGCCAGTGTTTAGAAATGCTTACATGTCTGGGTAGTTTCATCTCTTATAATATTTGAGATCTAATTTCATATCTTGTTTATGGGGAAAGCCAGAAGCCAAATTTATAATCATTGTTCTCTTCCTCCTTCAAGTCTCCTCAGACCAAATTCCTAGGATTTATGACTTATTTCTATTCCCAAATAATTCACCACTTGAATATGATGAAAGCTTGTGTTTGCATCCAAATTATGATTTTCATTGAAGTTTAGTTCAACAAAATTCAGGGTTCTATGTAATAAACTCTTCCCATGTAGATGATATTTTGATTTACTTCTATAAATATTTTTATAACTGAGAGTGAAGCATCTAAACAATTGTTAAATATGTGCCTAGAATCTGCTTTAGAACAAAGGCTCTGCCAACAGCCATCATTTCCTGGTTTCTAGAATGGGGACCTTTTTCCCATGCATTGTTTTCAGTTGGTATTCTTAGCAATAAAGTGATAATCAAATCCAAACATGGAGATTGATTTTCATATACTTTATTTAAAAAGTACACAGTTTTAAATTGGTTTCAATAGGTTTCAAGCAGAAGGGACACTGCCTATCACTTGCAGTCCCATTTCTGATGAAGGGTGATTATCATGTGGCAAACTCACATTTGCATGACTGGCAAAGTAAAAAGATAACTTTTTGTCAACATATCTTAAGAGTTTATATCACGCACAGTTTAAAATCATGAGGAGATGCTGATGGTTGGACTATATTCATGTCTCGTATGTTGCACCATATTTTGGTTCACAGTTTATCCATGATTTAGCATGCCAAGAGAACATCTCAGTCAGTGTCACCTTGAGAAGAGCATCAAAAGCAGAGGGAGCAGAAGAAGGACTGTCTGGGCCCGGAGACTCGGCGCACCCCCACACTCCCTTGCATTCTCCTACAGGGAAAGGCAGGGGTTGGTTAGACGCAAATGGACTCCAGGACACCTTCAACTTTCCAACCATGTGGATTCCCCAGACCTCTCTCCCATCTCTAATGTAAGAACAAAGTCTTCTGGGACCTAGATGATGTGCGGATTCAGTTTACTGAAAAGGATTATTTTCTCATGAGTAAACTTTTCAGCTGTAGTTCTTTGACCAGTGTGAGACTCTCATGGTGATTCTGATGGGAAAAGGAAACAGGAACAGTTCTCAGACTTACCTCAGGATGGAAGCCATGACAAGATTCCGGGCGCCTTCTGATCTTCTGGGCCTTTAGACGTTCACACTTAAGGGATTCATTATGTTGACTGTAGTTAAGGCATGTTTCCAAGGATTGCTTTTTTCTACTCTGCATTTCAGAGGTCAAAACTTGGTAATGACAACGCTCTTAACTACTCTCTCTCTCCAACAGTGGAAAGGATGTAATTTTCCTTCTCTAATATTTCTCCCCCAGGTTTCCTTACTATTGATCCCCCTTACTGGTTTCCGTGGTAGTGACTGGACCTGCACACAAAAGGATATACCTGATTTCAATGGGCGCCATGGTGATGGGGGCCACAGATTCACAGAGGCAGCTGCTGTCCACCACCACCATGAACAGGTTGCTGCTTGGGATTTGCTGGATGACAAAGGACCTGTTGGAACAAGAGGTAGTGAGACACTCATTTACTATCCGTCAATTAAAGAGTCATGAGGAAGACTTCTCTCCTGGGTGGTAGCAACTACCATATTTTGTAAAGCAAATTTTGGAGACTGTTTTACTACTAATGTTACCTTTCTCCATGAGGCTCTTCACTTACAAATACCTAGCTTCACTAGGAAAACAATAGCTATAATGACATGCAGCTCATACAACTCACCTAGGAAAGACTGAAATGCTGTATGTACAAAACACAAGAGTCACAGTTGGTTGAATCACCTGTTCCCAAAGTTTAAGAGGTGAGACTTTCAAAGACTAATTTCCTTCTCCCAGAGCCTAAACATTACCCCAAGTTACATTTGATGTTCCTCTAAGTGGCATTTTCTCTCCTCCTTCCCCCAAGGATAGAGTGAAACTATGTCATACCAATGGCAAAGGAGGTAGTGAACTTCTTAGAGCCTTCCTTATACTGCTTTGCACAATGTCTGCCCAGTATACAGGAACAGTGTTTTGAATGAGATTAATGCTAGTCATTTATGAGGTCCCACACTTCCCAGAGCACAAGTTCTGTAAGAACCAAGGCTGTATAGCTGCTCTGACCTTCTGATCCATCAGTATAGTTAGTCCAACTTAAGCAAGCTTGGCAGTGCCTCCTTCTCATACTGCCCAACGTGGTGAAGTGACAAAGACACTATAAAATAATCCTTTAACACAAAACACTACTGACTCTTTGGAGGAACAAATGAGGGATCAAAATCTCATATTCCTCCAGAACCAACAGATTAGCTAAATAATTTTAACTCCATGCTTATAAGCCCTATCACATAACTTTTCATAATATTTCATTAAATTCAGTTTAATAGATTTTTAACTTAACAAATGGACATTAACAAAATTGTCAGTCTCTCCAAAGGTTTTATCTTCATTTGCCTTTCTTGCAATAAATTTGTTCCATTCTTTTGAGTATATCACCATGGTGAACTAAAATCATGCAATGAAGAAAAGTTCTTCTGCTTTATGGGACGTTATAAAGAAGGGAAAGGAACTCCCCCTTTTTAAACCTGTTGTCATCTCCTATGTTGAATGATCCATGAATGCCTCTGAGACTGCAACACAATTGACTTCTTTTCTATAAATGCCCAATGCCCATCTAATATCACACAGTTATGTTCATTTTCTTCATCTGTAGTAGGGAACAGGGCTTGCCACTGTGCAAAGATGTTTCCTCAACGCCTTAACCACTATCCACACTGGGACACCTACTCTCTGCCCTTCCCACTCTTGTCTAGAACTACATCTGGCTTCAGAGAAATATTCAATCTTGCTGACTGTTTTGCTAATTAATTCCATCTATATTTATATCTATCTATATCTATATCTGCTTTATCTTCCCTCTTTAACACTAGACTCTCACCTATGCAAGAATGTTACTCCAGCAACTGGCCTCTTCTGAATGGATTTTGCCCATCAACATAAATATATTCTACCTGAGATATCTCTCTTCAGAGAGCCCATAATTTCTACCTTGGAGGTGGTAGGTTAATAGAGTCTCAAAGAAAACCACAAAACCAAGATCACAAAACACTCAGAAGAACAAACGGCTGACTAGAAGATTAAGCCAAGTGTGTCTGCCAGATGAACAATAAAGGAGAAGAGATGAAAATATGACATAAAAGATCCAAAGGGAGAAAATATTTTTTGCACTGAAAAAACAAATCCAATTCTTTTCAATGAATGGGCCCACTGAAACATGAGTAAAAAACTTCCTATCCTCAAAGATACAGACCAATCCTAAAAGCTTCCCTAGAAACAAATTACTTAGAATGAGAATAAAACCAGTTTCTCAGTGGGAGTACTGAAGATGAAGAAACAGAGTAATATATTTAAAGTTTTGAGGAAAAAAGAGAGTCAAAGGTATGTCATGTCCAGAGAAAAATAGATTCTAAATCTCCGTAGACATTTATAGAAAATTATATTTTCAAATTAGGAATAATCATTGAAAAAATATTTAAAAGTATTTAAAACCTGATAAATCTGGATAGCATGAGAAATTAAATACCCCCCTACACACACATGACTGCCAGTATAAACCTAAAATTATTACCAATCACAATAACTGTGAGGTTGTTAGATTCACATATTAAAAGCAAAGACTCTTAAATTGGGTTTACAAACATTATGCTGTTTGCCACAAACACTCCTAAAACAGAATGACATAGGAGGAGGGGAAAATATATAAAAAATATGCTAACAAAAAAGAAACAAGTTCAGGTTTAGTAGTAATATACAAATATTCAGAGTAAAAAATCATTACAATGTAATAAATAAAACAGTTCATACCGAAAAGAATTATAATCCACTAACAAGATAAAACATGATTATTTATTCACATAACGATAGTAGTATACAAACCGAAAGAAATAACAAAAGGGATTTCTGAAAGCATGATCTATTAAAAATATGGACCCAAAACTCTTCAGATATAAACAACACAGAATATAAATTATTTTCAAACACAGGGAACTGCAACACATTCCAAAGAACCTATAGTATTGATTATACATTCTTCTTTTATGGTAGAGTACAATTAGAAATTAATGCCAAAATGATATAAACAGTGAAAATTAAAAGTTAAAAAATACCTTTCATCAATCCTTGAGATTTGATAATAGCCCAGATTCAAATTTGTGCGGCATAATCTTAGACATTTTCATCAGAAAAAATAAAGGTTGCAAATATTTGACTAAGTTTTCAAATCAAGAAGCTGGAAAAATAAGAAGATAAACCTGCACCTGTGCCCTATACATTGTCTTCCTTCTTGTCCACTGGATTGAGTATTAATGTCCCTCTGCAAAGCCTATCTCTCAGGCTTCTTCAAGGATGTGACTGGTGGAAAAGAAGAGATAAGTGACGGTTGCACAAATAGTTTCCCTCATCTACTAGCCCTTCCTGGAGGCTGGCAAACATGCTGTCACATCTCCCAGCTCAGGAAAAACAAAACTGTCTCTTAACCCTCCCTCCTGCAACCACCCCGTTTCTCTACCTTTCTTTATACCATAAGTCCTAAAAATAATGATCTATAATCCTTCTCTCTCTCCCCCCAACTCTCTCTCTTCATACCTCTCCCTCCTTCACAAATTGTATTCCAACAAGGTTGTAGTCCTCACCACTCCAACTGAATCAGTTCTTGCCAAAGACACCAATGACCTCAAAACTTTCCTTCTGTATCTTTCTCCTTTCTTGTTTACTGTCTGCCCCTCATAAGAGACTGTAGTTTCCAAAGTAACAAGGCTGCATCTAACTGCCTGAGGTTATTAGTTACCTCTATCTAGCACCTAGAGTTGTGCCTGGGACAGAGCAACTTCTCAGTAAATATTTGTTGAATCAATGACAGAACTTGAAATGATAAAGGCAGAAGAATAAAATAAAAATTAAACTGTGAAGATAACCAACAGAATCAAACTCTGGTTTAAAAGCTTACTGACATAAATCAACTTTGGCACTCCTGATCAAGAAATTAAGTCACAAAGTATCATTATAACCTGAAAGATACGGGAGCATTTTAAACATTTTTTGGTGACTATTCTGTATAGCATTGTAAACAATCTGAGAACTTAGAGGAAACACGCCTTTGGGGATAAAGCATAAATTATCTACATTTGGCCAAGCTATAAAAATCATGAGCAGACCAATTGCCATGAACAAAACTGAAATGCTCATTGAGAATCTACCCCCAGGTGAATTCGACCCAATCACCCAAAGAACAGATATTGCTGTGTTCATAGAAAACCCACATGAACCCACTGACCAACTATTAGAACTAATAAAAGAACTCAGCAAGCTGGCTAGTTACATAATCAGCATATAAAACCACAGCCTGACACTGGCAATAACCAATGAAAAATATTTGTGAAATAAAGAACCATTGATAGTATCAATAATCACTATAAAATGCCCAAGAATAAATCGAGTAAAACATACGCCTTTATGAAGAAAATGATGCAAATTTACTGAGGAACATAAAAACACAAGCTAAAAATTGGAGGGAAGTACAATGGTGGTGGAAAGGAACACTTATACTTTAAATATGTCATTTCTCTCTTAATTAACTTTTTAATTCAAAGCAATTTCAATAAAAATGTCAATAGGTTTTTTTATGGAATTTGAGAACGTGATTCTAAGATTCTTTCAGAAGAGTAAATATAGAGAATAGTCTGGACAATTATAAAAAATTGGATTTTATAAAAAAGGGAAGGGCAGCTGCTTGCCATACTCAATATCGAAATTTGTGAGACAATTCATAGAAGAGGAAACACATATGAGTAACAAATAGGTAAAAGGGGGTTCAATCTCACTAAAAATTAGAGAAGTGTAAGTGAAAGTAATGATTTGATTAGGACATAGGTAAAAATTAAAATCTATGATAATATCAAATAATGGAGAAAGTCTGAAGAAATGAACACTGTTCTATACCATGGGTGGGAAAGTGAACTTTTATAGCTACTATGAGGACAATTTGTTATTATTATAGTGGAAATCTTTTATACCCTATTTTCTCTGTAGTTTTACTTCTCATTAAAATAAACTCTTGTTCAGAACCCAAGAAGTCATGTACAAAGATGCTCTTGGTAGCAATGTTCACTGAAATGGAAAAAAAGCAAACACAAACAAACAAACAAAAAATCAAAAACGAACAAACAAAAAAGCCCCACCTAAATGTCCAACACTGGGGCAATGATTGAATAAGCAAGAATATGTCCACTCGGTGGTCTTCTTGGCACCAGGTGACAGGGTAAAGAGGATCTCTGTTTACTGTCACGAAAGGAGACCCAAGATGGTGAGTGGGAAAATAATGTAAAACTATACATAAAGTACGAGTATTTAAGAATATTTAGGACTATTTATTTAAGAACATTCAATTCTGCTACAGAGAAACAAGAAAAATAAATGAGACAGATAAAACTTATAAGATGTATTAGGTATAGATAGCACATA